TGCTGTACAATCTGTTGTCGATTCAGTCAGTTTTGGGCAATTATATGGAGTCACTGAAGACTAGTGACAGCGATCTGTTCCTGAAGATGGGCGCACTGTTCCCGGAGCTGGCCGTTCACGAGCGCACAATCGACCACTACATGGATTTACTCAAAAACGACAAACTCGATGAGACGGTTGTGATCGAGTCGCTGGAGAAGTCGTTGAATTACTTCCAATCCCTGTATAACATCCATTTGGCCGATAGGCGGGCCTACGATCACAACAAACTGGTCAACGACTTTATCACTATTATAAAGAGCGCTTCCGACGCCATTCATCTCGATTTAACAATCCTCGACGGCATTTGCAGCGATTGCGAAGCCCTGAAGACTGTGTCCACGTGTGTGGAAGACATCGACCAGTTCTGCAAGAAAATCAAACGAAGACTTTCGTCCAAAACGAGGCTAACTCTGGAGCCGTCGGTCGAGAACGAGATCTTCGACTGCATCGCAATGATTGGTCGAGTAATCACTGCATTAAAAGTGATTCGCATCAACGGATTGGCTCTGAAGAAGGAGTGCAGCGCCAAGAAGTTGGACGAATTGGCCAAAGATGTCGGTGGACTCAAGTTAGTCAACGATTGCCTGCAATCAGTGATGACTATCTGCTGCCAATTCTCCACCGCTTTAGCCCAGGGTATTGACCATCGCTTTGAAAATTGTGTTTTTATTGTGTCTTTAATGTGTTAATCCATTTGAATAGGCGATTACGACGAGACCAAAGCGCCCGAACCGCGCGACACCCAAAACGCTGTGGACGTGAGGGCACAGGTATGGAAAGCGCAGACCGAAGAGATTAACGAATTGAAAGGTCGGGTCGAGTCGAGAGACAGCGAAACAAACGAATTGAAGCGCGCGTTGAAGTCAAAGATGGAAGAGTTGAGTGAAATGCAGATCCGAAGAGATTTGGCCGAAAAGAAGTTGTCGAACGCCACGAAAGACGCCGACGACAGAGTCGTTCGACTACAGAATGAATTGGATTTGTGTCACAAAGAGTTTAAGGAGAAGGAGATCGAGAGGGAGAAGACCTTAAATAAATACAATCAAGAGATTAACGATTTGTATTCAAATCAGCGGATAATGAAAGAGAAACTCAAAGACTACTCGAAGTCGGATCTGATCGGGAAAATCATGACCTCGAAGACCAGTACCAACGAGTCGGCGCTCGTGTCGCAGATCCGGGACTTGAGATCGGCGTTGAAGAACATCGCCGACGATAACTACAATCTGCAGGTGAAGATCGCCGAAAGGGATTTGCGGCTCAAACCGTTGCCCCGAATGGATAAATGCAAACCCCTTTGGCTGTTGAGAGCTCAGGGAAGGGAAGCAGAGGTGGACCCCAAACAGGAGAAAATGATTGATTTGACGAAACAAGCGAATCAACTCAAGAGCGATATCAGACTCTCGATGATCACGGAATCGGTCTGGGATTTTAAGCTACCCATTAAGGCACAGATCAGGCAACAGGAGCTCAAACGGCTCGACTTTATCTCCCGTTACGACAAACTTCAGCGAGAGATCAAGGGTTTTGTCCAGACGTACGACGAAGGGTATCAGTCGAGCGCTCACTTCGCGTCGTTTCCGGCGCCCCATATATCCCGGGTTTGTATTCACTGTTGGTTTACACCTTTTTCTTGTTATTCATTGTTTTTGTTTTGAATATTTGTAGTGTTTGAACGAAAAGAGCGCAAAACTGGCGGCCGTCCTATCGGTGCCGTCGGACAGGTCAGCGGAGGTGTCCCTCGAAGTCACTTACGAACAGTTGAAAGAATTGCACCGAAAATTATTGTGAAAATGAGGCATTTCTGGCAATGGCTTTGTTTATTATGCCTTATATTCCGAGTTTTAAATTTGTTATATTTATTAAAAAGTGGTATTTATTTCATCCGATTCTTTGTAATCAGTTTTAATTTGAAATTTATTTTTACAAATAATAAAATAGTAACTGTTTTACTAATGACTCATTATATAAACAGCACATTATTTATTAATAAAATAGTAAATGTTTGACTGAGATCTAATTTGTTAAATATCATCTTATACAGGTAAGCTATTTTTGTTTAATTAATCACGATCATTAATAATGGCACAATTAGATACTATATTTATTATATTTTAATAAAATAGTAAATGTTTGACTGAGATCTAATTTGTTAAATATCATCTTATACAGGTAAGCTATTTTTGTTTAATTAATCACGATCATTAATAATGGCACAATTAGATACTATATTTATTATATTGTAAATAATTTATATGTTTCTCACTATATATTTGACTCACTTTCTAAATAACTTTGATTCTCGATAACAATTAATAAATTACTCCATAAATTGTGACACAATTAGTGGTCATTTAGTAAATGAAAATAATTTATAAATAAAAAGCAAATAATAATTTCAAATCTTGATTAGCGTTAGAAATAAATGTATCAAAACTATAACTATATTTGAATGAAATACTATTTACGGCACAAATCTAGTCTTGTTTTGGTTTAATACCATTCTTCTCGGGCTCTAAACAAATGGCAATCATTTGGTCGATTAAATCGCGTAAGTCTTTCTCGATTTGAGACCAATTCCTGTCATAAATCACACGTAAAAATTATAATTGAATAAAAAAGAGATTAATTAAGAGATTTGTTTACTTATTGTCAGGCGATGCGATCGCTTCTGAATAATACTTGATCTTCGGTTCGGTTCCACTCGTTCTTATGGTTAATACGAAACCATTCTTGAAATAAAATGTCAACATATAAGAGGATGAACTCGAAGGCAACACCTATTCAATGATAAAACATATATTCAGTCAGTCTTATAAAAGTAGGCATTATATGCACAAAAAAACTTTATAATCACAGGTTTGTTATCGGGTGTCGAAGAATCGTAGCCACGATTTAGGTCCCGAACCCTAACGATCTCATAGGAACCGATTTTGGACGGATACTAATCGACAAAAAAACAATTGTTAAATAAATAAACTTAAACAAAGTGACAATTAATTGCAAAGTAGTATCAATTCATACGGTTTTGGGTCCATTGAAATTTGCCAACCGATCGAAAATACTTTTAATCACATCCTTATCGTAACAAATATAATAGGAATTAAGACTAAAATGATATCCATATGTGTTGTAAATGTGATTCAAATGTTGCGATAGATTGCACTTTCGCTCCGTTTCCAGATATGCGGCCAATTGGAGCACTTCGACGGCGGCACTGATGCCGTCCTTATCTAAGACAGTAGTGCCCGCCATAAAGCCGATCGCCTCCTCAAAAGCAAACAAAACCGTTTTTCCCGATTTCTCCAATTCGTCCGCTTTATTGCCCATCCATTTAAATCCGGTCAGCGTTTCCAACCAATTGAATCCCTCTATTTTGGCCATCGATTGCAATATCTTGGAGCTGACCGTCGATGACATCATATACACGTCATTGGCTTTGGCGGAGTCTTTGCGGGACTGGTGTTTAAACCACTGCCACCACCCCAACAGAGCTCCCGTCTCGTTGCCCGAGAATATCCGCCATTTAGACTCATTGGCCTCATATTCGGCGACAGCGCACCGATCGCTGTCCGGATCGTTGGCTATGATTATTGTGCTCTTCTCTTCGGCAGCCGTCTTGAATGACTCGTCCTTTGTTTGAAATAACGCCGAAATTAATGCAAAATCCTATCAGAAATGTTAAGGAATATCAATACCAGAACCCCTTTGCCCTCCTCTGGATTGGGGAAAGTGACGGTCGAGAACTCGGGGTCGGGTTTCATCTGACTCTTGACGGGGAAACAGTTTTTAAATCCGCAAACTTTGAACCCTTCGGTGAGGTAGACGTGTCCGACGCCGTGGATCGGCGTATAAGTGACCCTCAGTTTTGAGCCAATGTTTGTGTTTCGGTTGAATATATTCTTATCGATTCTGGAGAAGTAGTTACTGGAGACGATGTCCAACGGATCGCTGCACTTGTTATCGTGTCGGGGATTCTTCGTCCAAACGCCGTCCCATGGCTTCAGATTCTGGACAATACTCTTCTGAATGTTCTTATCGTGAGGTGAAGTGATTTGAGCGCCGTTTGAAAAGTACACTTTGTATCCGTTGTCCATCTTCGGGTTGTGAGAGGCCGTCACCATAACTCCTGTTCCCAAAAACAAACAGATAATTGTGTAAACAATTAATTACTGCCAAAAATTAATGAATATCTGACCGGCGGTGGCGGACAAGACTCGGATAGAAAAGGCCACGAAAGGCGTCGGCACTAATGTCGAGAAGAGATAGACTTTGATTCCGGCCGTTAGGAAGGCGTTTGCGGACAACTGCGCGAAACGTAACGAATTATGTCTGCCGTCGTATCCGATGACAACCCCTTTATCTTTGGCGGAGCCGTCCATTTGAAGCAAATATTTGGCCAAACCCTGTGAGGTCTGGATGAGCACCAGATCGTTCATTCCCGCAAAGCCGGCCACCATTTGACCCCTTATGCCAGCCGTTCCGAACTCCTGACGAGTTAGCAATAGTTTGCTCAGTTGTTCCGTATCTTTATTGTCCACAAGTTTCTTAATCTCACCAATAGTTTTGGGATTCTGTTGTCATATAATAAATATATGTTAAGAATATTCTGTTGGTTTGACATTCCAAATATTCCAAATAATTTATTTTGGTTGAATTTTAAGACAATAGAAATATGTTACTAAACATGTTATTATTGGCAAAATCAATATTTCAAGTTTTTTGCAATTATTTAAGATTTAAATTTTAAGTTTATAGTTTATAGTTTTAAATTATATAAAGATTATAAAAATTTTAGGAATATAGTAAAGATTAGATATGATTTGGTTTGTTAGGTCTATGTCAGCAAATTGTAATATAAAATGTTTTATTGCGGTACACTGTAAGTGCATATGCATTTGTTAATGGAAATACAATAGTTAATTGTCATAAATTGTTAGACAACAATAAATCACTGCAAATGTTTGCACTATTCCGACAGATAACTGAATTCCTTATATAAGTTAATATTGATATTCACAATAATACACATATAATAGTGAATTAATTTGCATTATAAATGTATAAAATGTCACTTATTTACAGAATAAGAATTTCTTATTAAGAAAGTTATCTATCTTTTCATTAATGAATTTTTATTAGACTTAATTATTATTAAGAAATTATTATTGGATATTAGTTTCAAATATGGTATAACACGACAGTTATCTTATCGCACATATTATATAACAAACAACAAAATCTAGTTTGGATTCACTTAGCATTGAATTATAGACCTATTAATAAAACGCCAAATAGTAAAAAAGTTCCTATAAAATCTAAATGACACGTTTATTTAATGTGATACTTAATCATTGTTAATTAGATTGAATGTATGAGCATGATGAAATTTGATACACAGTTACTTTTGAGCTTTAATTATAGCAAACTATACGTGTATTAAGTTAATACTATTAATAATTGATAAAACTATTAACTTAAACTTTTGATAAGTGCATTTAATTCATAACATATTTATATAGATTAAAAAATACAGGAATTTTCCCGCAGCAAGGTCATTTTTCAGCCAATTAAGTGTATAATTAGTAAATTCATTTTAGTTAGCCCCAACTAATTTTATCACAATTAATAATATAAATTAAATGCTGAATTCATCGTAGGACTAATACTGTAAATGATCAAGCGCATATAACACCTAGTATGTAAAATATGTAATTTATATTGTGTCAACCTAATTAATAAATGTTATATAATTTTATAATATAAATATAGCGACAAATATAATGACAATAAAATAATAAAGTGGTCAAAACCTGATCCCATTCAAGCCATTCATTGATCTTCGCCTCCAATTCTGGGCTCAAATTCTTGCACTCGTTTGACATCATTTTGAACACTAAATATAGTTTTTATTAAATTTAAATTTACTTTTAAAAAATAAAACTTTTGTAAATATTTGTAACACTTATGTTAACACAACCGATACATGCAATTAAATAAACGGCAATAAAACAAATGCAATTGCAGTCAAATATAATGGGATTAATGTATAGGAAATG